AAACTTCTAGTTATATATATAAAAATACTATAAAATTACTGTAATTTTTTATAATTAAAAAAATTATTATAAAAAAATTATTAAAGACACACGTATCTAAAAGTATTATACAACCATATAAAAAAATTGTAAAACTACTGTAATTTTTTATAATTAAAAAAATTATTATAAAAAAATTATTAAAGACACACGTATCTAAAAGTATTATACAACCATATAAAAAAATTTCCCGACCACAATATACGCAACCTCGAACAAGATTGCGCGGATAAGTGTGGCAGAGCTGTTGACTTGAGTAACAAAAATAACACTTGAAAAAGATGCTCCACCTGCTAACTGGATTCCACACCTGCCAAGAGGCCTTGCAGACATTTAGAGATATCTCAAGGGTTGATTGGTAGGAATAGAAGAAAAATAGAGAAAAAAAAAAAATTAAGATGTTCTATTCGTTTTAAGTAAAGTATCTTTTTAATGTCATTCTAAGAAACGGAACAGTTTTATTCACTAATAATTATTTAATGTCATTTTTAGAGTCAGAGGAGTTTAAGAACCTCCTTTAATCATAAAACTATCACCTACTTACATAAGAGTATAGTTCTCAAAATTGTTCAATATGACTTTGATTCTTTAGCAGTTTAATTCTTTGGCCGGTTCGCAAAAATATTAGTAAAAATAAATACTCAATTATTTTAGAAAATGACATCCTATTGATGTAAAGGGGCAGAAGTTTGATCAGCTGCTTCCTTCTGGTTCAGGGAGGTGGATGTGCCCCGGATGCAGCCTAGGAGTTTAGGAATGAAGACGATATCCTCAATGATTATGCATTTGTTACATGGATTCAACTGCAAATTGCAAGAGAAAATAACAGAGGAGGAGCTAAACATGGAGGAGAGTATATGGACTGAATGTACCAACAAAGTTTCCTCTCATTGCGATCATCGAGCCTCGACTACACATATTTGTTAGGAATTTGATCATGTGAAAGAACGAAAGCATGCAATGACCAAAAGTTCACAATATACTTGTAGACGAGATAATTTGCTGTTAATAATTCAGATAACTATATCAATAAAAAAAATGTAGGAAAGTATTGAATCTTTCCACAAGACAATTGTTGTAAATCAATTGTCAATGAAGCTAATTAATGAATAGAAGAACAAGTATGCAATTTACAAATGGGATTGGTGGCAACTTAGTCACAAAAAAGTAATAATTATACAATAATTAACACTTCCTGTCCACTTTGTTTCCAAACTGCTTAGCTGTATGCTTGACAATATTGAGTACCTACTTCTAATTCTAATCACCATATCTGAGTAGGTGATTCTCCCTCCATATTTGAATTGGTCTTTTTCTTGGCATCCAAAAAAAGAAAAAAGAAAAAAAGAAAGAAAAAAAGAAACGTTCTTGTATTTCTAAAAAACCAAAAAATCAATTGAACAGAAGTCTTCCTCTCAAACAGATGCCACAAATTGCAATGTCTCCAACCAATGCCTATTTACACCGTAGGACTTACAGTTTCCGGTTCAAGTACTCTATGCTCCCCTGTCTCTGTTGTGCAATGGAGAATTCAACCCGTTCGGATTTGGAGATCTCGGCGATCTAATGTGATGCCGCTGGTGGCTTTTATGGCGGCTCCTTTCCTTTTTAGCTTCCTTCTTGGTATCACTCTCCTTCATATCCTCCATACTGGTATCACACTCCACAGGAACTATATAAACAAAAGTTCCAATGGGAATGTCATCACATTGCTGGAGTGGCTCCAGGATGTTCACCACAGTACTCATTGTGGGTCTTTGCTTAGGCCTGTGACTCAGGCATTGATAAGCCAATGCAGCTGCCTTTCGTGCCCCGGATTCCGAGTACTGCCCTTCCAATCTCGGGTCCATTATCCGGGGAAGTTTCCGGGAATCATTCAGCATTGGCCTGGCCCATTCTACCAGGTTCTGTTCCCTCTGAGGACGGTTCTTGTCTACTGACCTCCTCCCAGTTAAAAGCTCCAAAAGCACTACTCCAAAACTATACACATCACTCATTGCCGTCAAATGCCCTGAAAAAAGAGATAAATTAAAGTTAATTTCAGCTCTCACCAAACTCAATTCACGTACCAAAACACATTATGAAATTAATCAAAATCTCATACCTGTCATTATGTATTCAGGAGCAGCATAACCTTGTGTGCCCATGACACGAGTCGAAACATGTGTATCATCTCCCTCTGGACCGTCTTTTGCTAAGCCAAAATCTGAAAGTTTGGCACTATAATCCTGGAAATTAAAGAATGAACATTGACATCAGTCTAGGCCAAGAAAAGACATCTAAATTATGTGCTAAAAAGCCTAAAACAGAGTACTTACAGAGTCTAACAAAATATTCGAAGCCTTAAAATCCCGGTATATAACAGGTTTCTCTGCTTCATGGAGAAATTCCAGTCCCTTTGCCGCGCCGAATGCAATTTTCATTCTCGTTGTCCATGGAAGTGATACAGAGTATCCTGAATTTCCAAGAAATTTCAATATTAGATGGTATATTCTTAGGGAAGAAACAAAAAGAGATAAATAATAACAGTTTGGCATTAATGAAGGGAAACTTACTTCTGAAAAGCTGATTCTCCAAACTGCCTCTGGGCATATATTCATAAACCAGGCATCTATGTTCCTCTTCACAGCAATATCCGATCAATTTCACCAGATTGGGATGCCGCAATTGGCCGAGAAAAATCACTTCAGTCTATCAAAAAATAAGAAAAAGAAGGTTAGAAATTAAGTTGAAATTAACTTTAATTATGAAATTGTTCTAAAATGGCCGGGTAGTCAACAGATACAAAATTCTTGTTGCAACTGCTTGTGTTTGTAAGCAGCAGAACCAGACCTATATATCATTGAAACTGTTGTGAAATTGAATAGTTACCACTTACCAGCCATTCTCTGTGTCCCTGCAGTCCTTCTAAATCCAACACCTTAACAGCCACCGGCTGAGCGGTCAACCCTGGCCGGAGCTTGTCATCAACGAACCCCTTGTGCACCCTTCCGAACCCTCCTTCACCAAGGAAGTTGCTAGAAGAGTAACTTTGTGTGATCACCTTAAGCTCCGCTTGCGTGAATGCGTGAAGGTTTGATCCAGCAAGCGAAACCGATATATCCTCCGACAGAGTGGTGCTGGGATTGCTCAAATCCAACATTGCCAACCGGTTAAACGAACTCTGTTTTGTCACAACTTTCTTGGTCTTCTTCGCAGCCGGTTCCTCGTCAATACCCTTTGAACAGCTCGGAATGAATGATCTCCATGTAAGTTCCATGACACCCATTTCTGAATCCGAAGCTATACGATCATATGCCAATTTTCTGGACCAAAATTTGATTGGAAAGTGCGATGTTTGAAAGGAAACAAAATGTATTGAAATATCAAAATCTCCCAACTACTCTATGAACGTGACAAGAGAGAAACAGGCTCACAACTCCTTTTGATTTCTGGGATATAATTCACGTTATTCCTTGTATCGCAAAACAAGGAATCGATCTATTTATATAAATTTGGACACGTATGAGTTGATTATTATTAAGTAGATGATTTCACAAGTCTACAAAAGTTGGTTCAAAATAAAATGACGCGTTTGCCCTAGCCTTCTCTTTGACTTTCTTATTCTCAATTTTTTTGATCAGAAAATACCAAACTTTTCATGTCTTCGGATGGTTTTGTTTGAAAGTATCTCCTTCCTTACCGCTAGTATTAATTTGACCATTCGGGGAGGCTTATTTTACCCATATTATTAAATGTTTTGTCTCGTTAAACTCATGATTTTATTTATTAAATACAATCTCCTATCTAATGCGCGTATCTGTGGAGTCACTAGAAGAAAGTGACCATTTTAGAGAATTTAAAAAGGACAATTTGAGATAAAATTGTTCTTTAATTCGACTATATACAATGGAAAAAAAGAGGGGTTGGTATGCTTGCAACTTTCTTCAATCTGTTATGTTTCTGTCTTCTAGAAACTTTGTATTACATAAATGAAAACGTCAATTTATGTGTCACTATCTTCTAGAGACCTTGAATTATGTTTGATAAAATGTTGGATTATACATCTTGATAGGTGGGTTATTTGATTAAGAATTTAAATTTCAATTTGTAAATTTTACGTTCGACCATTAAATCATTAAATCAAGTGGAATGAGATTCGAAAATAAAAATGATTGTCTTCAGGTCCCACTAATTAATTTGAAATCGAAAGAAAAATTCTTATGGTACTTATTTTCTTATTCGAAAGATTTTACTCAGACTTTATTTAAAAATAATAGAGTTTCTTCTATTTATATCATCAGATAGTTGGTGTATACTCTTTTGTTTCTTTAATTTAAGATAATTATCTTCTTTAAAAAAAAATTAAAGACTTGAAAACAATATTTGTATTTATTTATAATATTTTAAAA